GGGTGTGGGTGTGGGTGTGGGTGTGGATGTGGATGTGGGTGTGGGTGTGGGTGTGGGTGTGGGTGTGGGTGTGGGTGTGGGTGTGGGTGTAGGTTATAATATACTTCGACACGCCCACCCACGCCCCACACCCACACCCACACACACGCCGCACCCACACACACGCCGCACCCACACCCACGCACACCCACACCCTTACGTCTAGATTTAACCACTGTGATATATCCAGACTTTTCTGACAATGAAGCGAGTCATAAAGAAACTGCATAGTTCGAAAGGTGAATATTGATAAGCAAAGCAGAAACTAATCGGTTATGATGTTTGGTACATCAATGTTGTTTGTTTAAGTCAATTTCAAGCGTATTGTGAAAGAAAAACAAAAAGCAAAAGAAAACTGAATTGAGTGCAAAGATATAGTAGTTAGTAGTATTGGGTATATAAAATTTGAAGAATAATGAGTTTATTTAAAGTTGGATCGAAGAGAAGTTTGAATCAATATTGATCGTTTGTCCAATATTGAATGAAAACCGTAGCAAATATATAAATTGAAAGTTTTCTTATCGATAACTTCAGTTGAATAGCTTCCGATTTCATTTTAGGCGCTGGATGTAGTTCAATTATATCGAATTCGTGCACTTGTCGACTGGTTATTATACCACTTTTCATAGTTTGGTTGACTTCAATGCTGGAATTTACATTTGGGATATCGGAAAATGGTAGTAGTACAATGGAAGGCAAGCTTTGCGTAGTACTAAATGTTTCAAATTTTAGGCATACTGTTAGAATACAGTTTCCATCAATTGTACCTATCGAATATATGTTGTAATTTGTTGGGCATGCTTTAAGAGCTGAAGCAAGTGCCGGATTTCCATAATCACATGAAAACATACCACCAAAGAATGGTAAATTTTTCAGATTCGATACCAATCTTTCTGCTAAACAAACTTTGATATTATTGGGTCCAGCTGTTTGTGTAAGGCCTGTAGGACACGACTGTGAACTAGTGACAGGATTAACCTTTTGTGGTGTAAATGATCCCCCGTAAACGTATAAAGAATCGGTACCAGGCAACGATTGAGTATTATTTTTGATACAACCAGACAAAACAATTGTACGTTGGCCAACACCGAGATAACGATCCTCACAACAATTGCTTAGCCACAAAAATCCACATTTTCGACATTCGCGTTTATATAAATGTTCACTGTGAGTAGATTGATGAATGCGAAACATTCTGAAGTTGACTGGGCATTGTTCATTACTGGTGTAATAGTTTTTAATACGAAGGTTATTGCATTTTCTAAATGAAAAAGTGCTGATTTAAAAATAGTTATACTCTCATACTTTGTCTTTCTACTTCACGTGATTCTTCAATTACGAAACTTAGTAATATGCGATGTAAACAGTGTTTTTTGCAGAATGTCATGATCAAGATTTCAAAGATTTCATAACCGACTGAATTTAAGGATTTGCCTTAGTTTTCTGTTTAATTTAAAAGCAGTTAACTTTTTTCGAAACATTCTAAGGAATATCGTGGTAAGTACATTCGTATAGATATGCATCTTTGGTCTAATTATAGAATGAGAAACAGGAAAAGAAGCTGAGAATGATAACAAGCATAGTAGCCATGACCTATAAGATTGAATTACATCGCATGAATGTTAGTCACATGTAGGGGTGCACCAAATCCTGTTTTTCTCCATAAAAGACTGTAAGTTTTTGGTATGAAAACCACCCAAATCCAACCAAATCCTACCAAATCTTTGAGTCAATTATATGCAGTTTTATTCGCTCTATCTGATAGTATTATTTGTTTACCAAATTCCGCAAGAGATTTGGTGAAATTTGTCGTAAATTCACCAAATCTCACCAAATCTTTATCAAATCTCGCGCGGGATTTGGTAAACAAATAATACTATCAGATAGAGCGAATGAAACTCCATATAATTGACTCAAAGATTTGGTGGGATTTGGGAGGTTTTCATATCGAAAATTTACAATCTTTTTGCAGAAAAACAGGATTTGGTGCACCCCTAGTCACATGCATATAGGCCATCTAGCGAAGCAACTTTTTCAAAAAACTCATTTGTAGGTTCTTATACACTTTTGCCGGCTGCAATAGGCAATTCATAGAGTTTGAATTCTCGAGCACAAATAACTTGGTGGTCTGGTCAAAGATGCTCATACGAGACCATTCTTAACCGTCGTCTATATTTTTCATATATACTTAGGTTACAGATAGTTCAAATGGAGATAAACAATGCAACATATAGCTGGAATTTAATCATAACAAGTCTTCCACATGATCATCATTGTAATATGAATAACTTTAAGCTGAAATTAAAATCGATTTTGAAATATACATATGGAATTTAGCGTGTGCAAATCCGAAAGATGTGAGAAGCTTTAACAAGTTGATCCTAATGCAAGGTGTTGCGAAACGGTTCCCATGCAACGAAATAACAAGCAGAAGTCTGAATGAATTCTAGAAGAAAAAATTTCAGTACAATCTCGATTGGGTCAAACTAAAAAACTCAACGAAGCTATTTCATTTCTAATTAAGACATCACGCCATCACTATCACAATTCCCATCGAACTCTATTACTACCGTTAGTTTGTTGATTCAATTTTCTCGTTAAATGTTTCAACACCCGTTTCGAATCAGGTTTTACAAAGAAGGTGATTTGCACAGCTAATCCGTTTAAGATGTTGTCGACTCACAATCTAGTTACATTCAATATGATAGTTCATTAGAATCATCTTACACCGACGTCTTCTATTTATTATTTGAAGTATTGGGACATCCTGTATTTATTCTACTCGTTTTCTAGAAACTAATTTTAGATGTTCTCAAGTTCGTGACCGTTTGTAAGAAAACATAAAATTCAATCAAATATTCCCTTACTGCTCCAAGCGACTATCTTCGACACAAGTCTGGATAAAGCCGCCAAATTGGAATTTTAATGAGGCTGGTGCACATAAACCATCATCAACATTAGCCACCCAATTAAACGATGGTGAAAGGCGGTTCATACATCCGCGAATAGTATTCATTTCAATGTAAGTTTCAATTGCATCATTAATTTTTTTCTGAACTTCAATCAAACCTGCAAAAGACAATTCAGGGATTTTCTCCGATTGAATAATAGAGGTTATATTTTCAATCGCGCGTCGAATAATTGCTGGTTTAGTTTTAACTGATGATTGCCAAACACTCATTTGATTACCCAAAATAAATACATCACCACCTTTCGCATTGATAATTTTTCGTTGTATTTGTTGTTTAAATCGGTTGATGTCATTTTGATTCAACGATGAACTTGAACTAAAACTTGCTGACAGACTGAATGAGCCAAGAAATGATGCTTCGGCTGCTGCCTTGTAAAGTTTTTTATTCGTTTCAGTTGATAAATATTCAGATTCTGATATGAAATCGTCTTCACTAATTGAGCCACCCAAGTAGAGTCTACTGGTATAATGTGTACCGTACTTCTTAACAAAGAGTTCGGCGGCATATGTAGCCATCAATGGCTGACCAGTCATTGCATATTGGGCTATTTGAATGAGCTCTTTTTTGACATGAGTTGCCAATGGACAAGATGGCAAAATAATGGTGTCCACCATGAGATAATCGATTTGATTATGTAGTGTAATCGATTTCAGTTCCTTTTGCTCTGCTTTGATTCTCTGATATTCATTCGAATACGAACCGCCAATTTTAAAACCACCAAATCCAGCACTAGCGCCAATCATCAAAGTCGATGAATAGTCATTTTTCTGTGAATCAAACGTATTCAAAAACGTAGAACCCATTTCAATTTTGTTCTCATGCAATGGAATCATTTCAACACAGGATTGAAAAATATCGGAGTCGTTGAAATTTGAAATATTGAACACTGGACTCATATCAAGAAATCGTAAATGATCCCATCCAAAACCTGGATAAATATCAATTTTCAATGATTTTTCACCATGACAGGTTACCAAAAACAGAAGACCAATGATAAACAGCATTATTTGTTGAAACCCCTTCTAATGCACTATTGAGCTTTTGGCATTGAATCTACAAGAATCAACAGTGAGAAAAGTAAATGACTATGGGAAAAAAACATTCGATATTGACTGCTTATCAATCGAACTAAAATATACCATTGAATGAGGATGTAGAAAAAGTAACACCCAATAAAAAAAAAACACATCCATACCCACAGACTTCGTTTTTGGTAAAGATTTTTCTTACGTATTGTATTAAGTATGCACGATGTACCTTTTTCTGTTGATAAGCCGACGAAACTGCAACTGTTCTACTTAGTAATAAGAAAACCTGTGACACGGACTCGCTAGGTTTTAAAAACTGCGATCTCAATGTGGACGTGGATGTACTATATATTATGTTTTGAAGTCTGAACATTATCTCTTTTCTTTTGATTTTATTGAATAAGAGATAAATGAATAATGGAAATAAACAAATAATTTCAAAATGTATTCCGGCTTACTTTATTAACAACGGAATTTGTATTTTCTATAAAAAATTAAGTTGAATCGTGCATAACGTTGTGGTACCATTATTTGAGACCCCCTATCCTGGTCAAAAACTAGGACGTAGGATCTTACGAACGAGATAAAATCGTACAGAAATTCGTCCTCTCATAGATCTCACGTCGTATCGTACTATAAGATACTTGAAAGACCTTACCGTCAAATAAAATTTCTCATAATCTTATGGTATTATCTAACAAGACAGTAAGGTTTTTCGAGAATTGTAAACTACGATCTGACGTAAGATTTCTGAGACTACGATTTGTCGTACGACTTTTAGTCGGATCTTATAAGATCAGATATAGAAACTTGTCAGACCTGAGTATCTGATTGTTTGACCTGAGCATAGAATGCCCAGGTCAAGCAATCAGATAGTAAGATCTGACAAGATCTTGGATCTGATCTTATATGATCTTGTACGGTCATACGAAAATCATACAAAAAATCGTAGTTCCTGCCATCTTGGATTAATTCATACAATCAGATTCTTGGAAGATCTTACACATTAATAAGATCTTTCAAGAATCTGATTGTATAAATTGATCTAAGATGGCAGGAACTACGATTTTTTGTATGATTCTTGTAAGATTTCGTCCATATTCCAAGATCTTGTATGTACTTCATAAGATCTTGTGTCAGATATTTCGACCTGGGTAGCTGTCACAACAACCCAGGTCAAAAAATCTGACAATAAGTCTTGTACGATCATATGAAATCGTACAAAAAATCGTGGTCTCTTAAATCTTACATCAATTCTTACTATAAGATTCCTGTTAGATCCTACCGTTGTATAAGATTTTCTATAATCTTGCAGTGAGATATGGCAAGATAACAAGATCTGTCAAGAATCTTACAATAAGAATTGATGTAAGATTTCAGAGACTACGATTTTTTGTACGATTTGGTATGAATCGTACAAGATCATATATGAACAGATGCAAAACCTTACCTGATCTTAGTGTTCGATTATTCGCCCTGGGAGCGGTCGAATTCAATTCAGATGATACGAAAAATATGGCATCAATATCGTATTAGCTGCATGTATTTATACTAATGTAACCTAGAATGTTTTCGATTTTATGAGGCTATTGAGACATTATTTAATAACGATAAATATTGATAAACACAGAAAACCTGATTTCTCAAAACCCCTCTCATAAAATCATGAACGATAAGCTTTTATAACAAAATTTATCAACGGCTTAAGACTCTTGAATGACTTATGTCAGATGATATCTTCAACAAAAAGCAAATAAAAAGGTACTTTTGTATACTAAAATGAAGAAAAATTCAAAATATGTGAATAACATGGGAACGCTAATCAACCAATAAAATGGAGAAGTCTGATGCATGTTTGAGAAAGGAACAAAATTTACGATATATCTTCGTTATAATCTCTAAGTTTTTTATACCGTTTTTAATAGTTACCAGATCGTCAATATTGTATCCTTTATGAGTGTCATGAATAGAAACCTCACAATCAGCAATACTCTTGAATACAATAGAAGTGGATTTGTCGCAGAATCCATTCGCCACGGAACTCAAAGTACGCCGCTATAAAACACCTCTATACTTATAAAATTATACAGGTCTAAAAATACTATTCAGTGACTTTTCGCTTTGTTACCGTGTACAGGATTTACTGCCGCGGGATTTACTGCCGTAAACAATTTTCATAAGGCGCGCTTTGCTTTCATGCGAATTCTACAAAAAAAGTTAAGTAACATATTTATTAGTTCGCAACTTTTTCTCATTTTATGGTCTTTTTCCCCCCCCCCCCCCCCACCCCCTTGCTCTTTTTAAGGATTTAAGCGATTTAGGAAAAAGAAAATTATATGGAATAGCTGCTTGATTAATATTTTTCGGTCGAATGTGCTCTTTTTATAACAGGAAAAAAAGATTTGAATGTTATTCTGCTTTATAGGATATAATATTCGTGTAAAGAATGAATTTTCATGGTTCAGTACTGAATTGCTCTTTTAGCATTAATCGATTAAAAAAAAGTTAAATAAATCGACTCTTATGGTGTCGATATATACATGTTTATGCTGTGAGTTGTAGTGGACTAGATGAATCAAATTGTTTTATAAATTCATCAGAATTTAATACGTTATGATAAATATTCTTGTTTCGAAATACAATACCAATTTTATGTAAAATTATAATCAGGAATGTGCGCCCATGGTGTGCAGGAAGTGTTCACCCCTCCAGATTTAAAAAACTTTTAGTTCTTCCGAGCGAAAATCATACATGTTATTCAAAAAAGATCACAAAATGGAAAAGGAACGGTTTTTTATCCCTCCACGTTTTTTTTGAAGCCCATCTCTGATTATAATGTAATATATTGATTAATATAATATAATAAAAATGAATCAATATATTATATCACATAAAAAGGGTAAAAAAAATGATGATAATTAAAGGGAAAAAATGGCAAATAAAATCTATACAACTCATGAGTTTATATCTAAATAGGACAGATTTGATAGAATTTTAGTTTTCTTGAAATAAATTCTTTAATAAAAATAATTGTATATCGTAATATATGATATAGTTACACAACAGTATTAATGTGAATACTGAATCATTTATTTTAATTTGAAATTCCTTGACTATTATTAATATGTTGGTAAATTTTTTAAGCAAAAACAATACATATCAAGTGTTATCGTTTGTCTACATATGTATGTTTCTAGTTGAATTTTATTGAGCACTTATTATAATCTCTCTTTTTTCTTTATAAGCTGATTTGATAAATCTGCTTATAGTATTCTACTTCACGATAAGAGTCATAGAAATCTATGACGAATTCTCAATAAAACAAAACATTATATATTTACTGACTAATAAAATAAAGTAAATAAAAAGAAAAATATCACGTTAAACATGAGAATCATCAACAAATCGATTATTTTTAGAATTTCAGATGATATTAAAATTTTTCGTTATCGTAGAAATTTTTCTCTACACAAAGAAAAGAATTCTGTTTGTTTTTTTTGGTTTTTTGAATGCTTTTAGTATTAATACACATTTAAATCACTTAATAAAAAACAGTATTATTTATTTGAAATAATATTATTCTCCATGTTTTAGGTAGTAGACTACTTATTACAGTACCTAATACAGAACTAGCTGTCGTTGCGTGATAATACCATGATATATTTTAATATCCATCAATCGAGATATGTCTACTAGGAGTGGGACATTAATCTTAACTTAATTTCGTCGGATCCGACTATTGGATCTCACCGGATCCTGTCGTCGGAATCCGACAGAATCCGACATCGGAAATCGTCGGAAATTAACGAATAATATAGCGCTTCCGACGGTCAGAATCCCATCGGATCCAATTATCGGAAACTGTCGGATGGTGTTGAATCCCATCGGATCTGATTGGGTGAGTTCGACCTGGGCATATTCTTTAAATAATTAACTAATTGATATTTTGTTTTACTTCAAAAAAAAACGACGAATCAATATTAAAATCAATGCTTTATTTTTTTTCTTGACCATGATACCTTTTTTTTCTCGAATACCATACTATTAAACAGAATATTTTTAAAAAATTAATTTCTAAGACACCATTTATGTATAATAATATATATTTTTTAAGTGCCTAATAATATTTTCATTTGAAATTAATATCTAATAACCTATATAATCATATATTAATAATAAATACATCATGGACTTTATTCACAATTTAATCAAAAAACTTTTTCCACATAATATAATAACTCATCATATAAATGACTTAACGAATGAACCATCTGATCGAAATAATATAACAAATGATATTTGTATAAGTATAGAAAAAGAAAATAAATCCCGACAATTTTGTCGTCTTACCATTGACAACTAATAACACTATTTGAACATTGTCCTGTATCCGATCGAACTTCATATGAAGTTATTTCTCTATCGAAGGCTGTCAAAACATATATTGATTATGAGTACTTCATCGACAAAAATCTTGATATAGAAAATCATTACATTGGTCCTATATCTTGTCTTAAAATACTTTACTATTTTCTAAATATTCCAAATGACACTATTGATACAATCAAAATTTATACACAAAAGATTTTAAAACAATTTCTACTTTTACAAGCGTAAGTGATCATATTTTTTTAACATGTCATACAATTTTTTTATTACTCTCTCTCTCTTTCCCAAATAGAATTATTTTGATTAAATTTCATGTATATTGATTTTTCTCAATTAATCGATTATATCTTTGTTTTTTTTGTTATAAGATCAACAAACGAAAAGATATCGTATCATTTTATACATTCGAAACCATCACTTGTATTTGAAAATGTGTCAACTCTTGGTATTTTTCTGAAAGCTATTATTCATTTTCTCCTATTCTCAATTATTCAACATAAATGTACAATGTTTAATATCAATTCACCATCAGAACCCTGTATGATATCAAATTTAATTCAAATCTTAGCTCCATATGTCAGTATACT